CGCTCCCCGCTATTTTCCCCGGCAGCTGGTGGCCACCACTAGTTTGCGACGAGTTTTCACAGAACACTGCCTTGATACGGTCTAGAGGGTCGTTAGCAATCATAATACGGGGAAAAAATCCCGCATGATTAATTTCTCTTTAATACATGCAACCGGATAACAACGTACAAAGCATTCAGAACATTAAAGTCTTCAAATTTAGGGCATCTGCTTTTAACATCTTTATATTTAAGCGTTTCTTTGGTTGTTTGTGAAAGTCTATAATGTTGCTGGAAACATGATTAACGAAAAGTAAAACAATCTGCTCTCTAAATCTTTCCATTTTTTGTTACTGTAAATTTAAAATAACAGATCATTTCCACCGAAAGTTGGGAAACCATGCTGAAGGTAAATGTAAGCTGCTTGTCAGAAGAAATGTTTTCCCATTCAAACTGGTGTTCTTAAAAATTGTTAAGCCACTAAAAAATGCAGAGAGGCTCCTCAGCTGGATTTCCAGCTAACTGCGTACCTTTACAATGCGCAACACAGCACACACGGTTCTGTATTTAGTGGTCACAAAGGATTACCTACCCTTGGTAAAGCAGAGGGAAAGATGGATGAGCACCAGCCCTGAAAGGTGGTGAGTGCCCTCAAAATCCAATTTGGGGTTCTTGATATGTTTTGGGACATGGTCAGTGCCACATAGTCTTGAACCCTAAATCTCTTTATCTTGCTGAAGTACATCTGAATGAAACTGGTGTATGTATTAGAACAAAGTATATTACAGTTTGGCATGCATCCCGAGTTTGAAAAGTAATGTTGTGTTACCTTTGGGTACTAACAAAATTTATGTTCTCCAAGTAACCTTCGCTATTAGATCACCAACACTGAGAAACTTGCAGTTCTTTCACGCGTAGGAGAGAGAGAAGTTGCTTATTCGGCAGGTTTCTTAAATGCAATAGATGCTTTGATTTACCCCTCATTTAGTTAATATTTCCATTTACTGGAACCTACCTTTCCAAGACCCAGTGATTATAATACTTTTTGATGAGTAGGAGATCTACTCTTAGTTACCGAATGTTTGCAATTGGAAAAAAAAAATATTCAAAATCTCTTATGTGAAAGGAAAATGCAATTAAAAACATTATGTATACATGGGACTTTATTTTACATGGGAGCTATCTGGAAGGTAGATAATACATAACAAAACACAGATATTTTCAGTATAATGCTGAACTTTCTATTAAAAGTGCTAGAAATCCTAATTTATGTTAAGGATCTGTACAAATTCACTTTAAAAAGAAAAAAAATCTGCCCTGAAAACATATAATTTCAATAGTGAATATAGAGAAAAGGTGGGAAAAAGGAAGTAAGGATGTTGTAGATGGTGAAATGAAACATTTGGAGACAGATTTTCTTGAGTTTTCGTAACAGCTCCTGCTGTTACGCTTATGGCTATTACGCTGTATTTTTAAAAGCTGTGCAAGTGGCTTGCCCACAAGGAGACTGCAGAATAACCAGGTTCTTAGTCCCTAACGCTGGGTCCTAGATTCTGGGTCCATGATGACAGCTTAATTAATTAAGTATTGCCACTTAAAAAAATAGTATCTCACGAATCAGATACTATTACCAGATTCTGCTATTAAATGTCTCCTAGAAAAAGTAAGGGAGAGAAAAGGGGAGAGAGAAGCTTGGAGAGAGACCACCCTTTTCTTGGTATTACAAGTGTGAGGATGACTGAAGTACAGCATAGTCACATTTTATTTCATTATGATGTTATTTCATTTGAGCTAATCTCACTGTCCCTTCAGCTCCAGTGTCAATTCCTATTTCCCCATTTGTCACCTACTACAGCAATGTCTCCCATGCAGTCTTTTATGGATTCTGCATGTTTCTCTGTTAGGCTCTGTCTGCCTCTGTCAATCCAACTGACTTCAGTACAACTTCCCAGTGTCCTGTTTCTCTCCCCAATACTGCTACATCCCTGTCTCTTCCCATGCACATAAATAACCCTTTCTGAAAACCAAGGAATTGGGGGCAGGGCTATAAAGCAGTAAAGGCAATAGTGCTTTCATTTTTAAGGGAGTGGGGTTTTCTTCCTGTGTAGCACTTGCTTGAATCAAATAATCATGCTCTGGGGCCTTCAGGAGGTAAAATATACATGGTGGAAAAGGGAAGAAAAGCAAAATTTACCAAGTTAAAGAGAATGCAGTTTGATGGGTTTTCACATTCTGTGATTTGTATTAAACTTTCAGCTTCCTAACTTACTACAAAAGCAAAAAAAGCAAATGTGTTTACTTTCCTGCTTCAGTTTAACTCACAGTTTTTCTGGAGGAAAAAGTCTCATGAAATAATATTGGTGAATGCACTAGAAAGTTAAATATTTTCTTGTAAATGACTAGTAGCCTTGAAAAGCCACAGGAAGGAGCCAGTGAATGCTCTAGTAGATTACTTTAACATTTTGTTTTGAAATATCAATGTGTGAGAAGCTAACATGGGCAATGACTGTGTCTGCAAAATGCCTAGTGCACACTTGGGCAAAACCAGTGCCAGTTAAAGTTGTGGATTTCATTATTGGTAGCTGCATCCTTCTTAAAGCATTTTAATTCGTGTTTCAAGACCCTGGCCTGTTTGTTAATTTGACACAGGTGAATGGTGTCCATCCAGAATGCCGATTTCAGTTGGAGATTCACAAGGAGGAAACAAGGTGCATGGAACTTCTAAAGAATGCAAAGCCAGTGGACTACAAGGGTAAGAAAAGATAAGCTGTAATGTAGAGACAACTGGAGTATTCAAGATTTTCTCCCTTTACGTTCTTTGCTTTTGCAGTTGCCGTATTTATCTGCTTATAATTTTATGTATTTTAGAATTTATGCAGATTTTGCATTAAAGGTACAGCTGCAGTAAGCATGTCGTGAGAGGTGTGCCAGGTGCTAGGCACGCACTGGGTGGGACGCTAGATGGGAGCAAATGCATTCTCATGTTTTAAGCTGTTGCTGCTAGTATTTTCTGACTGGCAGAGAAGCTGCAGGCTGGTGATGACAGGACCAGCAGAAAGAACAAGTCTGAGGAAAAGTTGAAAGCCTTGGATCCAAGCATCTTTCTCTAGCTATGATTGAAAGTAAAGCACTAGCGGCAGGAATGATCTCTGGGTTTCCCAGGCAGAAGATGTTTCAGACAGAAGATCAGATTCACACCCAGAGTAGCATAGAGTCATGCAAAGGAAAAACTGGACAGTAGTGTTACATTCAAAAAACAAATTCTCTCTGTTACTTTATTGTTTTTATTTTCTCTCTACATAGAAAGATAAATATATAGATACAGATATGGCCAATTGTAATTTAATAGAAGAAAGAAGGAAGAGGGGATGTAGTTTATTATTTTTTTAATTTTAGATTTTACTAGATTTCCTTGCTACATTTTCATGCGAGTAGAACATAAGATCATGAAAAATGACATTTTTCTTGTAAGCTGGAGCTGCTGATAAAGCCATTTGTTCAGCAACCAAAATACGAAGGCAACAGATAAATCTCGACAGCCAAATGAAAAGCAAATCTGTAACATTAAAGTAGCTAGTGCAAAACTTAGTTAAAAGTTTTTGGCTTTTTAAGAAAGTTAGAAGGGTGTATTTTATTTTATTTATTTATTTATTTATTTTTAATGACAAAGGTATTAATGTTTTATGATTAGTTATCTTTTGTAAACCGTGTGCCATAACTTGTCAGCAGAAAGCAGTCTCTACACACCTACTGGTAAAAAGGTAAAAGTGCTTCTTGGAGTGCTTCATTTGCATACGTTACCTGCCCAGCACTCCTCTGGTAACATGTAAAATATTGAAGGGAAGGGTGGGCTTTCAGTGAGACTTAGAAAAAGGGGAAAGAAATTTTAAATCTAAAGGCAACTGAACATTTTTCAGTTCAAAATACAATTTTGATTTTACAAAGTGATGTCGCATCTAAAACTAATCATTAAATTTCTGTTGTTAAATGATCTTTACGTGGCTGGAAGTATTTAATTTCAAATTAGTTCTACAAAGCCATAAGCCTCATCAGTGTCCTGCCTTTTGATATGGTAGTCCAGGTATGTATCATATCAGAATAACTGGGCTCCTTGGAATACTACAGCTCTTGCAGTGTGGTTGTTTTCCTTTGGCTGAATTAGGTGATACAGTGTATTTGTTTTTTCATATTCAATCCTTTTTGAATGCACTGTGAAGATGATTATGATACCTCAGGGACCTGCCATCTGCAGTGCCCTTTGAGCATAAATATGAGTCCCAACTCGATGCTTTCTCCACCTCTCTTCTTGATTTGAACGTGTAACTCCCTCAGTGCATACTCTACTATCAATTTGTATACAGTAGAGTAATTAAAAGGATCATCAACAGTTTGTATTTTACTATACTTTTTCCTTTTTGATTAATCCAGATCAGTAATTAGAAAAATTATGATAACAGTGAATAATTTACATGGATATCTCTTCCAAGCAAAATCTTACTGGAATAATTGATCTACATTTAGATTTTTTTATTTATATGAGTGGTGAAGAGAGATGGCTGTAACATAAATAATACTAGTGTGAAGCCAGATGGAGAAATAATTACTAGCACAGCTTAATGAATTAAATCTTGAATTAATAAATCCAGTATTATCTATTACACAGTTTTGAAAGTCAAGATCCACTTTTGTGTTCCAGATGCTGGGCTGCTCCAAGGGTATCCTTGTGATGCACACCAGTTTTATTTTGGGTTCCCTAGGGGAAGAAAGAAGTTTTCTGTCAATACTTTCTTCACAGCCTCTTTCCACTGGAAGAGGGGCGCCTCCTGAAGGCAAACTGCTGTGTAAGAACTTCATATCTTGGAAGGAGACAGTATGTCTGATGGTGATGATTCAGCCAGCTAAGTAGTGATAAAACAGCAGTGGAAGGATTTATATGTTTAATTGAATGCCTGGCTGAAACTAAGGGAATATTCCATTTTGTAGGAGACTGGAATAAAGCCCCTGTGGTATGTATTTAACTGTATGTTTAATGTTGTAGGAGAATTTATCCTATGCTTTATGCTATAGATACCTTTACCAAGAACCTGTTCAGAAGAGCCTATGTTAAATATATACACTTGCATTTCCAAAAATATCCGTTCCCTATATGTCCTTATTTTCCTAATAAACTCTCTGTATTCATAAAAGATGTAAGGAGTATTTTGAACAGAGACTTGCAGATTGTAACAGTGATAGTCTGACTGCTGATAAAGAAGAATTGCTAATGAAAATTGGCAAGCTGGAACTAGTCCAAGTCCTAGCTCCACACCTAAAACTTGAGGTACACTTGAAACATAATTCATTACAATAGGTTCACAAAACCTATTTCACTTTTTCCTGAATGGGAAAGATGGTTATACCGCCCTTGTCATGCTTTTCAAACTTTAGTATGTGCTACCTGCCTCAAAAAAGCTACAAAGAAATACAGTGGAAGGTCCTGTGTAGAATTTGGAAATAAAGGCTCACTGAGATTTTCCACAGGAGGCTTGGGCCTCCATTAGCAAAATCAGTGGGAATTTTTTCATTAACTTCTTGGGCACCTGAGAATCCTTCACACCTCTATGTAACATGCCTCAGAATTTGGCTGGCATGCACAGCTACTGAATTTTCAAGGATCCAAATTTTATGGGACAGGCAGTTTCTTCTTTGGCCTAGGTGGCAATTATGTATGGAATACCTTATCTAATACTTCTCAGCTCCCAGTTAGGGAGTCATAAAGGAAAGAATTAAAGGCGATGGTGGTATTTTTTTTTTAGATAATAAAATGATGTTATAGTCATCTTACCTGAGCTGCCTCATAACGTGGGCTGAAGAATTTCACTGAGTAATTTTTGTAGTGCACCTAAAATAATTGACTATGAAGTCTACAAAGGACTTGCTTACTTCATGGCTTAATAAAACAATAGTGTGTTTTGCAAGGAAACACCGTATAAACACTGTGTAAATATCCTCTGAACAATGCTAAGGATATATTAAAACCACAGGACCCAGTTTGTCTAAATTCTGCTAATTTGCCAACGTCAAACTGTTAGATGTCCGGACCTCCTGCTTTGCACCCATTGGGGGATTTTCAGGCATTAGCACATACTCTTCCATTAGCAGAGAGCATTACACTCCATTTAGGGAAGAAAGTCACTCTACAAAGATCTGTGGCAGTGCCTTCCTCTCTGTAATGCTCTCCAGCAAATCTAGTTGTTTATTTTATGAAGACTGCATTAGGTTCCATCTGCATTTGTTTTTCTTCTTTCCTTCTATAATTTGACAACTGAGGTATGGATGCACCTTAGCTGGAATCCTAGGAGAGGACTGGTTTTTTGCACTCTCATTTTTGGAGGGCAGATCTATTCTAAACAGCTCATAATAGCTACAGGTTTTGAGGTCTGTATGGGAAAACCCCACTAATTTATCTTTTACCTACTACCCATGGCTTGTCGTCTTAAAAAAATAGAAAGCTCCCAATAAAAGTGATTGAAAACACATAAAAAATGGCCAATTGCAAATTTCTGTCTTTATTCAGTATTTAGAATTTTACCTTATAAAGTAATGGATTCGTTTCCATTCACCTTGAAATGAAAAGTGAAATCTTATGACCAAAATGTTAAAGCTCAGTTAGTAGACTTTATAACAGGATTCTACATCAAAAAGTTCTAAAAAGATCTCATTATGAAAAAATGAAGTCTGGGGTTTTTTTTTCTTTCCATTTTGGACTGAGTGGCTGCACAGTTAAATGAGTCTTTTCGGCTCTTGCTTTCCAAAATGTGTTTTTGTGAGACCCATATGCCAGACAACATTTTTAATTTTAGATATGGCATCCTAACTTTGAGGAAGGGATGTAGATGGAAGGAGAAATGGCTTTGGAAAGAACTTCATAAACCTCTCAAAGAGAGGCTTAATAATGCAGCTATAATGGGAAATTAAAACAGACAGGACTACCAAAGTGGTACTCTCACTTATTGATAAATTTAAAGCAAGAGGGACCAATGTCACTCTGTAACCTAATCTTCCGAATTACACTGCGAGTAGAATTTCACTCAGTGATTCCAGCACTGAGCTTATGATCTTGTGGATGAAACAGAGCACATCTTTCTGAAAGCTCTTCAGAATGGTGGGATGAAGATTCAAATGTTGGACCCAGGGCAAGTTGTCCAAAAGTTAGTTTATCCAACTAGCCTCTGCTGTTAAGGTTATTTCTCCAGTAAGAAAGGTGCCTGTTTTGCATTCCAAACCCACACATACACACACACATATATCTCTGTATCGTGCAAAAGAAGGACTGACTGTGAGCATAACTAAGCCAACCTGATGATCACTCTCTCCTCTACATCAGTAAATAGGAGACTTACACAAAGCGAGATGAGGCCTTTCTTTTGCTGTGTGAAAAGGAATCTCCTCAGGGTTCCCCCTTTCTTAATCCTCCAGTCTCATCAAAGTCTTCCATCAGTTTTTGTTTGTTTTTGCAGCTATTTTCTCTGTAAAATGAGTCAGTAGTTCAGACTGCAGCGTTGCTTAGAGTTATCCAAGGTAGCATTAAAGGTAGAATTAAATGAGATAGTGGGATCATGGAACTTCCTTTCCTGCAGCATCAGTAGCTCTTGGCAGGAAACTTTAGCTTTCTTGCATCTCTGTGCTGCTGCTTTTTTAGCTGCAGTACAGACATACTGCTACTTTTTGGTTCACACATTTTTTAATGAGAGGAGCTGAAGGGGCTGCTTT